ACATTGGTTTCTGTTCCATAGTTGATGGTCTGCCCTGCTTCCGGTCAGGTGATGGTTTCTGTTCTGCAACTGATGTGCTAGACTGCTTCCGGTCAGGCGATGGTTTGTGTTCCACAGTTGATGTGCTAGATTCCTTAAGGTCAGGTGAAGGTACATTGTTTGTGGAGATTGTCGAACTTTTTGAATTAAGTTGAACCTGACCATTGTTTTCCTCCAGCGATTTCTCCAAACGCTTTGCCTGTCGAAGTTCTTCACGAGCTTCTGACAGTTTTCCCTCTCGCTTTAATGTAACTGCCTTCTTCTTGTGAGCCAAAATTTCTTGGCGCAAGAAACTTTCGCTGCTCTGAGAACTAGAGTCCTGAGAGGATTTGTCTGCCTGGTAGCGCTGTTTTCCTTCATGACGAAGTACATCGTCTTGGTTTCCGATGCTGAAATGATCTTGGTTTGGAGCAGTAGAAATTGCCTGGAATCCAACTTCTGTGGAACGATCAGCAGCATTAGATAACACATTGGAACGAGGGATTGATAAGTCACCTTGTCGTCCATTACCTACATGAAATATCCAATTATTTCCTGTCAAATATACATTCACATTCTTACCGGGTTGGATAATTGGAACTAGAAGCTTCAGCAGCTCTCTTACCTTCCAGAGAAGTATTTCCACCTGAAGCACCTTCTCTAAACGAGGCTTGGCGCTCCTTAGAATTTAAGCGATCAGATTGACGGTAATGAACTGAATCGCCTTTGGAAAATTTTAAATTTAAAGACAGATCTGGTACTTCGTCCTTCAGACCCTCGGCAACTTGTTCTGATCCATTGCGTACCTCCTCCTCCACACCCTTCACACGGTCTAGCAAATCATCTCCTTTCAATGCTCTAAGAACTTCAGATTTGTCATCCTCAGCAGCATCATAGACGCCTGTTGGTTTTGGAGTATCCAGTTCATCCATTTGGATCTCCAACGCCTTTGCCCTTCTCAAGACTTCCTCAGCCTCATCAATGTCCCCTCTCCTTCTAAAGGCAAGAGCCTTTCTTTTCAAACTTAAAACCTCTCTCTGAATTTCACTTCTACTTTGTGGTGCAGCAACATTGATTGTAGAAGATGATTGGTTAACAGTTGGTTTTGAATCCTCGTTAATTGGCTTGACCTGCTTATGCACCGGTTCAACTTCATCACCATTCCATCCCAAGTTCTGTAGAACAGACAGTAATGTTGGGTCGTTCATATCTTCCTCAGTGACATCACCACCATCACCTTCATCAACCAACCTTCCAGAAGGGGCTTTGTGAACGTTCTCTTGGTTCCCACTATATACAGTCCTAACACTATCCCTACGCTCTATGTCCTCCATCTCAGCTTCTAAGGCCTTTGTCCTTATCAGCACTTCCTCTGCTTCCTCAGTCTCCCCTTGGCGTCTAAGAGAGAGAGCCTTTCTTTTCAATCTCAAAAGTTCTCTTTGGACTTCAGCTTTTTTTCTTAGTGGCTTAACTGCGTATTCAGGAGAATCATTTGCAGATGTCTCACTTGGTTCCGCGGGAAGTAAATCATCTTGTTTAGAGGGCTTTGAAGGGACCAATTCATCATCTTTGTCATTCCAACCTAAATTCTTAAGAACAGAAAGATATTCAGGGTCATGCATTTCTTGATCTGTTACATCTTCAACCACTTCCACATCTAGCAAATTTCTATTGAGATCCTTAGAGAGAAAATCTGGATCCTTACTCCCAATACCAACACCCACCTCTCTGATGTTTCCCCTTGAAGCATCAGCCGCTTGTTCAAGTTGTTCTTCAAGGACCTTGCATTTATTCAATTCTTTTTCTGCCTCGTCCAACCTTCCTTCCCTTCTTAAAGCCAGGGCTTTCTTTTTTATAGCAAGAAGCTCTTTCTGGATAGCTAATTTATTTTTTGAAGGAAGTTTAGGAATCAGGACTTCTGTTGTTTCAACAGTGCCACCGCCTGAAACATGGCTATCTTCTTGAGAGCTGCAGTTTTCAAGGTCTCTCTCGAGCATCTTGGCTTTCTTAAGCTGTTCCATAGCCACTGCAATATTGCCTGCACGCTTTTGATTGAGAGCCTCTCTTTTCAAGGAAATTATTTCACTTTTTATTGATTCCCTGGAAGCAGAAGGTTGGGAATCCTCAGTCCATCCTAAGGTTTCTAAAGCAGCAGAAATTTCTGGATCTTCCATGTCTTCATCTGTCACTTCAAAGTTAATGTCCGAAATAATATTATTAGCAGCCCCTAAAAGATTATCAAGATCAAGATCAAGATTTCCCTTGTACTGAAATGAAATATCTTCGTGTTTATTATCATCCAAACTACGCACCAATGCAGATAGCTCATCATCTGACTCCTCATCAGCCCCACCCAAGAGTTCTTGTTCTTCAAGCTGCTTTTCTAAAACTTTAGCTTTCTTAAGTTCCTCCTTGGCTTCTGCTAGCTTGCCTTCACGTTTCAACATTAGAGCCTTTCTTTTGTGAGCAACAACTTGGGTATTATCAATGCTATGAACACTCTTAGCTTTATCAGTTTTTTGTAAGACCCCCCCAAGAAGAGAAGATAGTTCACCCTCTAAACTCATTGTAGCTGATTTTTTTTCCTCGGCATGAATATCCATATCAGACCATCCAAGTTCTCTGAGTTCAGCATTAAGGTCATGCTTTTCTTTACTACTTTGTAGACTAGGCTTCATGTTCCTACCAGATGAGCCACCTATATTTGGGTCTTCACCTGCATTACCAGAAGTTAAAGCTTTTCTGCGGCTTCTTCTTATGGAAATTTCCAAAGCGTCAGCTTTTCTCTCGAGCTCTTTTCCTCTCTTGAACGCTTTTAATGCTTCCTCAGATTTGCCTTCTCCTTTAAGAACTTTATATTTCTTTTTTTCATCTACAGCTTGCTGGCGCAATTGCTCCGGACTACTAGATTCCATTTTATTCTCCAGATGATTAGGTAAACTACTGGATGCCTCTCCTTCCCCATCAAGGTCTATGAACTCTGGAGTATTTGAACTCTGTACACCAGTGGTAGTCCTTCCAATAGTAGAAAAACTGTTGGCATTTGATTCTTGCACTGAAGATGATGATTCATTTCTATCACTACCAAGAATCTTGGCCAAAATGTCATCCTCGGGCTTTGTCGACTTCAAGCTACCTACATGATAAATGACAACGATATGACTTCTTAAAAAAACAACGGAATAAAAAATGACAGAAGATGTTAGATGTGGGTATGGTAAGAGTGCATTCAGTGCCGAGCATACCGGCATATCACAAAAGAACGAGAAAGTAATTCATGTCAATGAATTGTACAAAGCTTAAACACGTTCAATTTCAAATTGTAGTTATAGACTGGATGTTTTTATAAATTTATTTTGAGGAAGATAATAAACATGTAGAACAATTTCCATAATGATATACCTCTTCCAGTTCTGCTTTTGTGTCCATGCCGAAGCTCAAACCTTGCAGCTTCTTCTAGCTTTTTGCAAGGTTCGCATATGCGCACAGGAGAATCACCCTGTCCACGCAAAACTATTCTCTGCTGCGTGCAACTACCGCAAAATATTCCCCCGCACCTCCGACAATGATGCTGAAAACCCAGAATGCATACGCATCAAAATAATTAACAAGTGCTATCAGCTACCTATAACAATCTATACAGCCGTTTAAATGATTCATGTTTTAATCACAAATTTGATCCCCATGATGATTCAACAGTCATATTGATTGCAGCCCTAGTGCTACCAAGTCAATCCCTTATACTTCCATACAAAGAAATTAGACACTTTGAGAACAAAAATTTGGCTTCCTTGTTTCCAACTAAGAAAAGAATAAAGAATCATAATAGAATTTACTAAGACGATACTATCATGATGATCTATACAGTGCATCAAAAGAGAGGGAAAAAAAAAAAAGAAAACGATTAAAAGATGCAATATGAAGAAAACCAAAGATTAAAAGTAAAATAGGACCTTGCGATTGATGAAGGTGAACTGAGACGAACATCCTTGACAATGAGAAGCATCCACCACCCAGTTGTTCCCTCGAAGAGACGGCCTAGCCGGCAATCCGATCTTCTCCAACATCTCGGCTACCGGAGGGAATTAAAATCCAAAAGATATCAAATAAACGAATTCAAACGAAAGATCTGATAAAAGCCAGCTTTTCGAAGATCTTCAATTTTCTTTCACAGTCGGGCGTACGTTTTCCAGGACTGGAAATCGATTGGTTTTAGGAGGAGGAAAGGTAGAAGAAGGAAATTGCAGACCAGAGAGGCCGTAACGACGACTACGGATGAAGTAATTCTGCAAGGTGAAGGACAGGCAACGACGCCGTATAGAACATGGTCCATTGTTGACGGTTGAATTGACGCCGTTTCATAATAGACCGACGTATCTGGGCCTCGACTATGGGCCTCCACCTACGCAAATGGCCCACGTGGGGAAAAAACTCATTAATAGTACAAAATAAATACGATTAAAACTAACCACTTTCATTTTTAAAAGATTTGATTTTTTTTTTATTTTAATTTTAAAAATGATATATTTGGTTTTAGAAGTTCAAATTATATTTCTAATTAATCGTTTTAAAATAATATTCTAGTAACTTAGATTAATCACCGCTAGTAACTAGTTAGGTACAATCATGAAACTATTGGTCATACTTAACCGCTAAAACCGACAATATTGATTGAAGGTGAGCTTGAACGGTTAAAAATACTTTGGCCAAATGTCGAGAAATTGAAGAGAGTTTGTGGATGAACCGAGTATGGCTCCCATGTCGCTACACTTGCAGCCATGGGTGCAGAAAGGGGCTGGACAGTGCAATGGCAGCCATGAGTATGGACCTTAAAAACAACCATTCTCCACTCATCCATCACTTTCCAAGTTTTTACTGTATTTTCCCCATGTTTTGGATTCACCGATTTCCTTTGGTTGCGTTCATCTTGTATTTACTTTTTAATCTACCAGAAATTACTTCGGAAAGTTACCACAACCTGGTCGGATCAAATTCGTATTCAATAATCATCAGAAGAAACTCATAAGACATACAAATGCCTAATTTTTCCTAATCACCGTCTGTAAGTTACCACGAAACAAGGAAGTACAGCTTCAGGATTGAACACAAACAATTCTTCCTGTTTTGAATTCTGTCCCGTTTTCCCACTCGACGATTCGAACCCAGAACCAGAATTGGCGTTCATTTCATCTTCCTCCTTGCATCCACCACAGACCCTCCCTGCAATCACTCTGCACACCATTAAGGCTCTTCTTAAGCCGCCCATATCTTCTTCATTCATCTCAATACATTCGAAGGCTCTTCCACTTGTTGAGCATGTAAATACGCCTTTATTAAACCCATGTCTTAAAATTTGGCAAACTCCACAGCTATCCAAATTGCATAAAATCTGAGACCCATTTGCCGCTGCTAATGGGCAAGCAATCGTCGTGCCATAGAACCTCAAGAGCTCGTTTCCGTCGACTAAACAACGTGGGTTTTGCTGCTCCAGTTTGCTCGCTTTGCTTTTCACCGTTGCTCTGTACTCTTCAAACAGAGACAGAGTTCTTGGGGAATTGCGGACTTTGAAAACATTCTCAATGTGGTGGGATTTTGACATTGGCCAAGTTCTTTGGCAGATTAATTCTATCACTTTCCAGGATGAATCCTCCTGCGCTAATTCTCTGACTGCAAATGGAAACTAATTCATTATAATCTATGATTTGAAGAGTTCAAGAAACAGAGGAAGCAGTTTAATCTTTCATTACCGGCATGCTTGGAAAGATGATGGGACTCCATGGCATCCGAATTCTTAAAAAGCCCACCACATTCTTGACAAATCAATTCAGAACCATCGTGGAATTGGTTAATTCTGTCGTAAGTTGCAGAAGTGGCATGCCCATTTCTTGTAACAGAGGTTTTATGGAGTTCAAGACTGGTTTTTTCTTCGTGGGGAACAGAGAAGCTATCCGTTTTAGTTTGTGCTTCAATTTCATGGGTCATGGTGAGGAGAACTTCACTGTTCGCCATTGATCTGGAGCTGGAGCTTGGAGATGGCTTCTGCGAGTGTCTTTTGCTTCCACAAATGATGTCTCTGAGGTTAGATTTAGACCTTAAACAACCAGATGAATCTCGGTCTGTTCTTTCCTTGGAGTTTGAATCACTAATGGCTTCTGGAACATGAACATCACAAAGGAATGATTTGGTGCAGGATAGTGATCTCTTCAGAGTACACCAAACCTCTGGCATTCTACAGTTCTGCTCTTCCACTGGTCTCTAACGATTCTTCTGAGAAACCCTTGAATTTGTCTGCCGCTGCGGTCTAAAATGGAAAGTGGAACCAAATTTTCTCATCAAAATGTTCCTATTTCTGGTACACCTTTTCCCTAATCTTCTGCGAACTCTTTCCTATCTCGAAACACCCACAAAACGAATTATGTAAAGGAATTAATGGGGTTGGAAGCGTTTTTCTCCACAAAAAGTAACTTGCTTTATTTTGATACTACTACATCGTGTTCAAATACATTGAAATTTTTGGTGGAGTGAGCTCCAGCCGCCATTTCCCAACACAAGATACAGGATGAGAACAATGGAAGAACATAGTCAGCTACATACACTGCCACCACTTTCCTTAAACGACCAAATACAGTCGAAACTAGTTGCAGAGACATTTTTCATCATGGGAGACTAGATGACAGTTCAAGCCAGAACCATCAATGCCCACAAATTGTCTCAAGGAAACTCGAAAACAACATGATCCACAGAGAGAATGCATAGCAAGGTAATCAAAACCAAGACCTCATACTGATGAATATGTATTCCTTACTTATAAACCCATAATCAACCCCTTAATTAACCGATATGGGACTCCAATTCCAACCATCTTTAACAGCTTCATCCTCTGCTCGGCTTCATCTTCCACCAAACACAATCTCACACTCGTGCTATTCTTCAACTTTAGTCAGCACACAACTAATCAAATAAGCAAAGACTGTTGAAGGTATCTCTCAGATAATGACACTAAATCAAACGAGTTCCAACTTTACCCACAGTTAGAATTCTCACAAGTCTCAGTAGTGATGATCACATAACAAGTAGTGGGATACGAAAAGAAAAAAAGAACCCAGCTCTTTTAACTGTGTTATATTCCAAAGAGCTTTTTGGTGGATTAAAAAGCTTGACGAGGGAGAGTAAAGATTAGGGAAACAGTGAGAGAAGGATACTCAGCCTGCTCTGCTGGAGATGCCCAACTTTCCTTGCACCCTGTGACAAGAATCAGCATCTAAACATAAAAAGGAAGACGTAGGAAAGAAAATTTGAAGGAGAAAAGAAGCTTTTACAACGTTATTACATCTAAATCTAAGGCATCACATATAAGTTTGTTAACCTGCAAGCTGGCCTTTCCTTTATTCGAATTCCATCCTATTAATGTAGGGTACTTATAAAGCATTCTTCACAAAGCATACAGTCCTTGCCTGTGATTTCCTATTGAGTTCCTTTCCTCCCATTTGTTTCTGCAAAAATGCAGAAAGCTTCTGGTTTTGTTGTCTGCATCTTGGTTATTGTTATGGATGTTACAGCCGGAATTCTTGGAATTCAAGCTGAAGTAGCTCAAAACAAGGTATATTGAAAGCTGGAGTCAAAATTGTTATGGGATATTTTGTTTTTCAAATGATTTTGTGTACTTTTGACAGGTGAACCATTTCAAAATGTGGATATTTGAGTGTAAAGACCCAAGCTATAATGCTTTCAAGCTAGGCTTGGCTGCAGCCATACTGCTGGGCCTTGCTCACGCCATTGCCAACCTGGTTGGTGGGTGCGTTTATGTTCGATCTGCTCAAGAATACAAAGGATTAACCTCTAACAAGCAACTTGCTGCGGGTTCACTCGTCTTTGCATGGTGAGTAGCGGCTTTCCCTTCGCTCTGAAGTCCTAATAGACTAGTCATTTGAAAACACACATAAACTGGATGTTTTTGAATGTCAAATACACCAGGATTGCACTTGTGGTTGGATTCTCGTTGCTCATCTCTGGGGCGATGTATAACACCAGGTCAAGAAAATCATGCGGGCTTGCTCACAGTCATCTTCTGTCTATAGGCGGGATCGTGTGCTTCGTACACGGCTTGTTTGCAGTTGCTTACTATGTTTCTGCCACAGCAGGACACAGGGAGGGGACGAGGCCGCCACCACAGGGGCACCCTGCCGGAGCTACAGGCCACGTTTAGCCCCCTCTGATCTTCATGTTTTCCTGAGAAAACTAACTTCCGGATGTTAATTCAACTCGTAGCTAGTACATTCGGGGAAATAGCTCTCCTTGCTAATAGAAAATCATATTCCTGTTGTTCAGAGATCGTAAAATATGCCTTCTATAAGAACTAATGTACTAATCTGCAATTTGGAAATGGGGTTATATACCATATTTTTATTATAAAATTCTTGTTTCGACAGAATTTGAAAGTCATCTTCAAACTTGAGAAGATTCATTCAATTATAACCAGAATTTTGTATAATTGTTATAAGATCATAATCTGCGAACACTAAAAGAACATTAATCAAACAGTCACAAACCTATTCACCCCATTCAGCACCTATATGAGCAATTCATCCACGACAAGAGAACCGTAATTTACACCTCCATGGGATTTCCTTACCTCAAATTAAACATAGAGAAAATCATAATATTCATGATGTTCAATTTCTGAAAACGCCAAGAAAAGAAGCATCCAACAAACATCGTGAATGATAGTATAATACCCATACCAGAGTAAGACAGAAAGTCACCTGTTTAAAAATGAGGAAAATAAAAAGCAGTTGTTCTTGGGAGAGAAACAAAAAGATAAATACACCATCACTAGAATAAACCGACGTCAATACCACATATAAGTAGTAGAAATTCACCAACAGAAGTAGAGATTTATGCATAGTCGGTAGTAACTTACCCTAAGTTCTCGAGGATATAAATAAAATCAGACAAATTTAGAAGTATGACAATCCTAATCCTAGACAAAACAACAAACAACATGAATAAATTTGAGCTCTGAACTATCAATCTGAAAGCTGAAGCATTATACTCTAGTCCGAAGTCCAAATCCTTACTTGTCAGATGATTTGTAGGCGTCTAGTATCAACTTTGCCTGGTCCCTAATCAAATCCGTCCTCTTTAGAAAAAGCTCTAGTTCTGCAAGATGCAATTTCTTCCACTCCTCCTCCAGCTCTGTTCTCTTGGATTGCCCTATTAAATTTAATCCTGGCTTCAAAAAACTTTCTGGAAAGCCAGCAGCACCCAAAGACCTTTCAAATGCAACAAAACCATCCATGCACCCTGAAGGAGCTTCGTTATCATCAATTTTCATCTTATCATCATCCTTTGGGGCATCAGAAGAAGGAAACAACTCAGCTTTCAGTGAAGCCAGTGTCTTTGTGGAGCTACCTCTTTGATTCTTCTTTGGAGTGCCATTAGCATTTGGCTTGGGCTGCTCCACAACCGGAGTCCGAGTAATTCCTTCGCCCCCCCATATTTTCTTTGACAGTTCAAAACCTTTTTGTTCGTGGGGTTTTGAAAATGTTGGGTCGGCACCCTTTTTACCTCTATCAACATTGTTCCTGTATTTCTTCTTCAATCGACGTATCTTATCCACTAACTGGGCCCTGGTTACGTCGACGTGAAGAGATTTCTTGATGAAATCATGAAAGGCATTCATATCAAGAGCTGGGTCAGCACCCTTCTTGGCTGTATAATCAATTATGCCGTTCAGTATAGCAATCTCATCGTCCTCACTCCATAGTCTCTGAAACAACTTCTTGGATTCGTCAACAGATTTCTTGGAATCATCGTCCGCGACAACCCCATCATCAGCGTCAGCCTCAGAACTCTTTGGCCGTTTTGCATCTCTTACTGTCTCACTAGGCCTCTTCAAAGACGATCGCGCAGGCGTAGCTGAGGCAGAAGGCTTGGATCTGGGCTTTTTCACCTTCGGAGCCTCTTCAATCGGATTAGAGGTAATCGGCTGTACGTTTCTTTCGGATGTTCCCGAATCGGTATCGGATCCGGAGCCGCTGTCTGAGGAAGAAGACTGAGCGTGAGTGTTAGAAGCAAGTTCAGATTTCTTCGATGCTGTTTTTTTATCGACAGCAGGAGTAGAAGGAAGAGCAGTAGACTTTTTGGGTTTCTGACCTTGAGTTTCTTCTTCATCCTCTTCAGAGGAAGATCCGTCTCTGGACACACCTTCCTCTTCCTCACCCGATGAGGTTTCTTCTAATTCGGAGGAAGACGCTGCCGGCGGCTCATCCAACGGAGACCGTTTGGGAGCCATATACGGAGACGTAAATTGGGGTTTGTTTCGCCTGCAGTGCTAGGGTTTGATCAGGAACAAAACTCTGAGCTTCACGTGGCCTTATTAAACCCGATAATTGTTAACGTAAGATTAAATTCTTGTATTTTCAATCATTTTCTAAAAGATAAATTTCAAATTTTAAAAATTTAAATACTTATTAAACATTTTTTAAAATTTAGGAGCAAAATATATATTTATATATATAATTAAAATTTTAGATATTTTTGATGAAATTTGTATTTAACTTCACATTTATATATATATACTTTTTTTTTTGTTAAATTACAAGTTTACAGAATAAACTGGTTTTTGCCGATTCTTCTTTAATATAAAGGCTCTCAGATAGACTATGCTGTGATCTTTGTGTGTAATCATCGACATGCTGTGGCAAGTTTGAGGCATTGCTCTGCAGCAAAAATCCGGGGCTCAAAGGTACAAGAAGAGTGAAGGAGTTGTGAGCATGACAACAGCTGGAGCCATGGTGGGTCTGCTCTCTACGTTTTCTTGAACACACAGTAATCCTAGATGGATGCATCTCACCATTTCATCAATGGCCCCGACATTCCCTTTCATCCAGTTCTTCCATGTCTTCTTTACCAAATTTGTGTTAAGCTTAGCAAGGAAACAAACGTTTGTAAAACATTTATACTCACGTAGCTCAGAAGGTCAACTGTTCTTTTGGCCACTCACGATCTCTAGCAGAATTATACCAAAACTAAACACATCTGATTTCACTGAAAAATATCCATACAACGCGTACTCTGGAGCCATATATCCGCTTGAAATAAAAAACACTCAATCTTATAAGATATCCTAAATTTTGTAGAAAATACTGAAAGTGAATGATGAAAACTTACCATGTTCCCTTAATTTTACTTGTATCACCATCAGACTGATCAGTTGAACATAACCTTGCCATTCCAAAATCAGTGATTTTTGGATTTAGCTCTGCATCTAATAAAATATTGTTAGCTTTAAGATCCAAGATCGTGATGGATGACTTTGTGTTAAGGATATTTAGTAATAAATTATAGTTTACCATATATATTATATTTGATATTTTATTATAGGGCAAATATCTAATATTTGCCTTATTATCATAGGTATCTTTCCATTTATTGTTATTTCCATTTATTACTATTTCCATATCCTTGTAATTCATTTGATTATAAATAAGATAACTCTCACACCATTTAGGAGTGGTGGATTAATCAAACATTCACAAGGTATCAGAGCTCTTTCGGTTTAACAACCCTGATCCTTTCTTTTCAATGGCTTTTGAATCCTCTAATCTTCTTCTCCATCACCCCTGCTGGTTTTGACGCCGCAGGGGCAGTCTTCATGGTTGCCGTAGTCGGAGCCGATTGATTACTCTTCGGCTCCACCCTATTGACCTCCAAATCACCTTTCGTCATACTCTGTACATACAACCTTACCTTTTCCAACCAAATTGGTTTTCCCCTTGGCCAATATAGTCTCTCTCATTTTCTTCCCAATCAACATTCATCCTTCACATAAACCCTAACCTAAACCTATCAACCTTTTGCAGAAATTTACCTTCGGAATCTGGGTGCCGCACTGGCCTATTTGCCAACCAAGTTGCCGCCGCCCTTCCTGCCAAAATTGGCTTCTTCGCCCGATGAGGTGACTCTTTTGACTGCCCTTCTCGCCAAAATTGGCTTCTTCGCCCAATGTGGCGACTCTTCCGGCTTAACCATTGTCTTTGTCCCTTGCTCTAGGTTTCCCCTTCTACTTTTTGGGGTTAGAAATATTCTCACCAGAGCCAAGGCAGCATCGTCGCTAAGCGACAATCCCTCTTCATGGGTTAGACATATTCTCGCCGAAGCCAAGGCAGCATCGCCACTGAGCGGCGATTCCTCTGCAATTTTTGATGGCCAAGAACCGGGTTGTTAGCATCTTCATGAAA